AAAAAAAAATCTCTCCCCAAACTACTTATTAATAATAATACCTTTCCATTCTATTTTGTTATGCCCTTCAGAATTAAAAGATAGCAAGTTCTAGATATTAGACAACTTTGAAGAAACCATCCCTTCATAAAATAATATTAATAAATACTGAGGTTAAAGCTAATAGTTAAAATTATTTTTACCCAAAATTACTATATTCCGATATGTATCATTTATATACACAAAAGAACAGCCACCTAGTTACTGAGTTGCTACTAATTTTAAATCAATAAAGCGAATCAATACTATTTTTTTAAGAAAACTAGAATATAACATTGAAACGACGTTCTCATCGATTTATTTTCCGTATCATGCAATTTCAGTACCCGATGAGTCAGTCTAGATTTGGTTAGTTAAAACAACATATTAGGGCCGGGCATGGTGGCTCACGCCTGTAATCCTAGCACTCTGAGAGCCTGAGGAGGGAGGATTGCTTGAGCTCAGGAGTTCGAGACCAGCCTGAGCAAGAGTGAGACCCTGTCTCTACTAAAAATAGAAAGAAAACTAGCTGGACAACTAAACAATATATAGAAAAAATTAGCTGGGCATGGTGGCACATGCCTGTAGTCCCAGCTACTTGTGAGGCTGAGGCAGAAGGATCGCTTGAGCCCAGGAGTTTGAGGTTGCTGTGAGCTAGGCTGACGCCACGGCACTCTAGCCCAGGCAAGAAAGTGAGACTCTGTCTCAAAAAAAACACAACATATTAGGTATTTCAAAAAATTCCTGAGATAGGTGAGTGGTAGACAGCTTTATTCAAGGATTCCACATTTAGAAATTCAACTATTCACTGAATGTATTTGTAACCTCAAAAACAATACTCACATTGCCTTCATAGTCATTCATGGACGTGTAATCAGTGCAGCAAAAAATCTGACTCGTCTAATTTGCATGTTCCTAGCTGAGTTCAAACAAGGTGAAACTCTTGTCTCAAGTTTCACACTACAAACAAGTGTCTTACAATCTATTTAGTGTCACATTTTTTCAATTTCTGTGCGTTTTTTGGTGATTTCACTGTTTAATATGGCCCTCAAATACAGTGTCGAAGTGCTATCTAGTGCTTCTAAGTGCAAGAAGACTGTGATGTACCTTAAAGGAAAAATCTGTGTGCTAAATAAGCTTCACTCAGGCATAACAGTGCTGCTGACCAATTCAATGTTAACAAATCAACAATACACCATTAAATAAGATATTTTTGAACAGAAACACACACAAAACAAGGTAACAAAAATACTGTCACCACAGGCCCAAAGAAATCTAACCCAGTATTTCCCCTAGAAGCAATGGTCCAGTACTCACAGCAACTTTATGAAATATAACTTCTATGAATAATGAAAATGGATTGTATTTAGCTTAAATTCCTTTTAGCATCTAATGGCTACCTTCAATTGAGTGAGCTATATTTTTCTCAATGTCTTTAATATATCCTGAATAAGAAATCTATAGCTCCATATTCTTTTTAAAAAAACACAGAAGCAATCAAAATATTACATGGTTATATAGGTTAATATGTATTTATTAAAAAAAAAAAATCAAAGGTATGTTGTTTCCAAAGTCTGGCGTCTGGAAATACCTTGGGGATAACTGAGAACATTCGCAACAGGAAATGAAAACATGAACATCTTTATATGAAAAAATCTGTTCTATATAAAAACCATTATTAGAATTTCTATGATCAAAGTCATAAAAACACAAGTACCCTCCCCTAATGCCAACCATCTACAAGCATTCTTTGCATACTGTATTTAAAAAC